GTGGAGGGGTTTCAGCAAGCACGGGCTTCAGCAGACATTGACAACAACATACCTGGCTTTCTGCAAACGTTAACCTTCCGCTCAAAAACTTTGAAAAAGGGGGCTAGGGATGTTAGTGGCGGGGTAGGGACGGTACTTCCCCACTCAAAAACTTTGAAAAGGGTGGTGGGGGTGATAGTGTTAGGGTGTGCTTGTCACTGCTGTCTGGTCCAAGTTGCCCTCGATGCTGGTAGGGTGATGGTCCTGACTGCTGGGCACACTGATGTAGGATAGTAGGGATAAGGGGTGCGCTGGGAGCATTAACGTGGGGAAGGGTAGGGAAGGTGGACTATCCTGTCAGCACAACCACCGGGGGTCTCGCCTTCCACGAGCCGCCTTCTTGGGCTACACGAGGCCTGAAGCCTCACATTTCCCATGCCCTTAGGTGTGAAAGTTCTCTGAGACCCTTCATTCTTGCCTTTGCTTCCCTTTTGGAGCCCTTTCCTACCGCAGAACCACTTGAGGTGCAGACTTAATTCGTTCTTCTCTTGTGAAGCACTGATCTTTACACATCTGCACTTGGATCCACTTGCTACTGCATCTGTGGTTCGGCGGGCCATTTGAGATTGCATCTGTGGCTTCGGTGGTCTTCCCTTGCCAAGTGGCTTCCGCACAGGCAGTAACCTACGGTTGATGTTGACCTGTCGATCCATCCATAGTTGGGGGAAGCATTGATCCCCGAGAAGGAAACCAATCGCGGGAAAGGCAAAGAGTTTGGATGTGTGAAGCACAGCACAAGTCCAGGGTGCAAAATACTGACGCATTAATTTCTGTGGCATGTTCTGTGCTGATGTAAACTAAGGCGACTTAAATCCACGCCTGGTCACCCAACTGGAATGCTGCTATCCCTCTATGCAAGTGCCCTGATTCTATCATGACCCTCTGAGCTTCTTGCACCTCCCCAGTACTATACTTTGCAGCACCTTTCTGCACTCAAGGGCACACTCGACACTTCCAGGGACTTCCAAGACAAAAAGCCAACCAGAAGGAGTTCTGGGTTTCCATCCTAAGTGCCGTTCGTTGGGTGGACGAGCTGTTGCTGCGTGCATAGCATTATTATACAATCCAGCTATCTGAGGCCGTCTGATGTTCCAATCAAGGTGATCAGCAGTAATGTAATGCCTGAGAAGCTTCTGCGCTTGTCTATTCATCTGCTCGGCTTGGCCATTCACCTCAGAATGA